TCCAAGGCGGGAGGTGCCCCTGTCGTCGTCGTCGTCGCGATCCCGCCGCGTTGTCTGGGGAAACCTGACCCCCCCTTTCCCATTCCTCCAGCTGGGTGCAGCTCCTGAGCCAGCAGCCACCCAGTCCCTCCAGGCTGGGAGAGAGAACCAGCTCCAAACTCTTCCCCCTTCTCCTTCCCCGCCACGCGCTGAGCCACCAACTGCTTTCCCTGAGGGATTCACCGGCCCCTTGGGACCCTCTTCTCAAACTCCTTCCCCCCTGGGTGCCTTGTGGGGTCCCCAAGGCCAACTTCTCCCCACTCCTGCCAGGTGGGGTTGGTATTTCCCCCTCTCTGACCCTCCCTAAGCATATTGTGCCCACCGGGAAGGAGGCAGCCCGGCCTAACCCCAGCTCCCCTTCCAACCAGCCTGTTGAACCCGTCCTGCTGCCCGGGGGGAGAGGGTGGGGATGCGGGATTCATGGCAGCAATCGAGGAGAGGCCATGACCTAGCAATAATTAACACTGCCAAGGGGAAGGGAGGGGACAGCCTTGGATTCCAACCCCCTTTTCCCAAGTGTGCTTCCCCACGGAAGGTCTGGCAGAGAAGACACAACAAACAGGACCGGCAGCCGCATCCTCAGCTCCTCAGCAAAGTGCTCTCTGATCCCTGCAGACACAGCGTGACAAGAGGGAGGGAGGTGCCCGCACTTCTTCCCTGCAAGGCCCACGTACAGGAGGAGAGCAGGAATTCTGTTGAAGGGACTGGAACAGGCTGGATGCAGGCACCTGCTTCCCAAAGGAGAGGCCGGGCTGTTGAGCCTCACCAGAAGGAACCCCGCTCCCTGCAGCTCCCCTGCTCTTCCCCCTGCCCCTGGCTAAACCCTCCGCTATTCCAAGCCCTGCTTCCCGCTGGCAGGTGGGATCTTTCCAGGGCTCTGCCTCTGGCAGCACCAGGCAGGCAGGACAGCCGCGGGTTTTTGTTTGTCCCATGAAGACGCTGCTCCCCACGGCTTCAGAGG